CAACCACAAAATTACGGAAAAGTACATTTTCTTAGAAAAGCAAAGTATAAACCATATTTTGACCCAACATAATTAAATGTTTAATTAAAAGGTAAATATTAAATCTATATATTGGTTTAAATTTAATTAATTTAAAAAGTTCAATTTGTATAAGTAAAAGATTAAACCTTGTATTTTGAAATGTTTTAAAATACGCCCATATATATATATATATATATATATATATATATATTATATATATATATATATATATGTGTGTGTGTGTGTGTGTGTGTGTGTGTGTGTGTGTCTCATATATATTACTATATGTATAATAGAAGTCAGTCGAATCGCCAGTATGCCTCATTCACGAAGCTGAACTATAAGGGGTATAAGGAAACGACCTATAAAATGCCCATCCACTCTCACCCACCGCTCTCTTGTTTGGTGGCTGGTCGTTAGCAGAATGGGTTCGATAGACGTAATATCATTAATAAGTATAATAATATAAAGTAACTAAACTATATTTAAAAAAATTCCACTCTAGTTACTTTAGGAAAATGTGAAATGTATACTAATCCATGAAATCACCACATTATGCTTTATATGTCGTTACTGGAGCATGTTTGGTTAACTGGCATACTAATAGGGACTATAAAGAGTTGTGATGGAAATCTTGAAATTTATCATTATTAATGGAGCATATGTGGCTAACCGTCACATCAATGTAAGATTATACAAGACATCAAGGTTGTCAAGTGGGTTTGCATGGTTATTCACATCTCGTTTGTGATCCTCGGCATCCCAGTCACAAAGTGAGAGCATAATCTGAGATTAAGCTTGCCGTTGATAAGAATCAATGAATCTCAAAAGATCTAGGAGTTTAATAAGATTGAAATTGTTAAAAGCCATACCTACCAAAAATAGATTCAAATTTGACTACGGCATCCCTTTTCAAAGTTCGAATCGAAAATATGAATCCTACCCTTAATATAAAATTTATGGGTTAATAATTTATGATTAAAATCAACTAACTTGAATTCTATTTTCTCTCATTATAGATGTCAAGTGAAGATAATAATGATCTTCCTCATTCCTTTGGAAATAGTTTTCCTCTTCCTTTTGAAGATGATCTTCCACTTTCTAATCAAGATGAAAATGTTTTCTCTTCTCCGAGAAATGGTGGAACTGGACATCATGCTTCTTTAACTCTTCCACCTCCTCCTTGAGCGACCCTCCCAATGTCACGTTTTCCTCGAATGGAAAGATACGAAACTCCTCAAGCCATATTGGCATATAGACATCAAGATGGAAATTCTGTATGTGCGCATGTTCTGGAAATGAAATCGTACAATGACAAGTTGGATAAAATTGGTCTCGTTTTCCTAAGGGAGTAGTCCATTGATTTGGTTCTTCTTTCTCTTCCAAATTCATATGAATAGTTCATTGAGAACATTTGTGTGCTGAACATCGATGTGACCCTAATTGATCTAACCCAAATGTTGATTGTTGCTGAAACAGAAATGATTAAGAGCACATCAAACGTGCTTAAAGGGTCTGATTCCAAAGTTTCCATGGATTTTATAATCGTGACAATGGTGGTCTAGAAAATATTTCTTTTCCCAATGGAAAGGGGTCGGCTAAGGTCAAACAATTTGATCGTATGGTAAAGAGAAAGGCTAGTTCTGAGATAGTTCCATGTGTTAACCCCAAAGAGTCCATTTGTTTCTATTACCAATTAAAGGGACAGTGGTTGCAAAGTTTCCCCAAATACCTGAGAGATCTCAGAGATAGTGAAGTCAAGTTGTGTGACTCTACTTCAGGTACATCCATTATCTAACTCCATTGTTTTAACAAGTTCCTATTCATAGACTCTTAATGCATAATGTGATGATCACATTTTTATGTTATTTCTGGATCTAAGAGAAAGAAGGAAGCTTAATCAGACTGAGCTAAATCTGATCGTGAGAGATAGACATCAGTCACATGGTTCGATGATCAGAATTTGGAGCTACTACTTAGGAGATAGGAAAATATAATAAATTTCTATTACTCTTAGGAGATGTCTAGAAACATGGTTTTTTCATTTTATGCATTGTAAGGACAAGTTCCAATTTTTTTTTGTTTATTTTCAATAAAAGTGAAATTTTGGTTTATCTTGGTTCCCTTATTCTTATTTCCTTGCAATGGCATTTATGAAAGTGTTGGTTATGTTTATAATATTAGAAATATTAATTGTGGATTTTATTCTTATAATATCATGTATGGTATTATCATAATTGACCAAGTAAAAAGAAATCTCATCACCATCTGCAGAGATACTTGGTGTAGTACAATTTGCATTGTATAGTGTATGAGAATCTTGTTCATTGGAAAATTATAACTAATTCATGGATCACATATTTATGTGAGTAAAGTGCATGAGTAATGGATCTGGTACAAATTGATATGGACTCTCTAGATCTACCACAAAGGACGATAACTCTATTCACCATGATTTTCTTATATTTCAATAAATATGTTTTTTGTTCATAAGATTGAACAAAATTCTACTACTTTAGAAAAGGGTTTCAAAGAATATCAGAACGAATATAAGAATCTATTAGGTAGAAAGATAAAAGTTTCTCCAATCTATGAAAGGAAAGTAGAGTACTTAAGCATCATGTTTTATGATCGTCTTTATGATTGTGGAATTATATCACAATTGGTCCTCGAGGAAGATCTTAGTACAATTGTATGACTAAGAAGAGGAATTGGGTATTGTTGAAATGGTTCAATCAAGAGATGAGTCATACTTCATTTCCAAAATCAAGTTTTAGAGCCATACTCTAATTACTAAAAATTGTATCTAGAAACTCATTTCAAACTAAGAAGGTTTATAACACCTCATGAAATGTAGAGTGATAATGTTTTCTTACTCTAGTACATTTAGATTTGGAATTGTGATGTTTTTGTCAAAACAAAATTAGACCAATTCTATTTTTCGGGAATCCACACGAACTTTTGAATATTTGTTTTAGCTTGTCAAAGGAATGTTCTTTGAGAGAAACTCATATGTCAAGAAGTCGGTAGTAGTCGTATTGATCTTGAGAGTTTCAAGAGTCAACCATTAATAAACCTTTTAGTTATCACTAGCACGCGACCTGAGGTTGATAACCAATCGTGTTTGAATTACACATTCTTATTTCTTTGCACCTTCCAGTTGAGTCGACAATGCTTATGAGTTCTATGTTTTTCATTTGCCTACAAATAAAAACACGTTGGTCAGTGAAAGTACATTGATCAATATGGGTGAGATGCTTAACAACACGGAAGCACTGGTAGGTCCTTGTGATACTAAAGGGCAAGAAATTTAGAATAAGTGAAGTTTAACCCATGCAAGGAAAGCTAAACTTGAATTTGGTTTTGTCATAAACCTTTTTGTTATGAATGTAGGTTGAAAATGATAGATTCACATGGATGGGAAAGTATGCACCATAAAATCTAGGTGGAAATTTTTTTGCTCTAATTCATGAGAATGATTATGAGGGAAACACTTTCGCTAGTAGATTATAAAGATCTGATAAAGATTAGTATGGATATTGCGTTTATTAATTTCTTTCTCAAACTCACAATATGATTATGACACCCCTCTTCATATTTCGAATTGTGAGAAATTTCAAGGAATTGTTTGAACTTTCAAAGACTTATAGCTATAAGTGATGAAAGGGGTTAAACACATAAATATGCTATCCAATGAAAGTGTACAAGCTTAAGAAGTCTAGCTGGAGACTTATCGAAGCATCGCGTAAAAGAAATCTGTATTGGAGTAAGAAAGTCAATAGTATTGATTTCTAGACGTCCAGTTGACTTATGGGTACATGTCAGAGTTAGTGGGAGTATAACTGTTATGCTGTATTGCATGTTGACAATACTGTTCGTAGGGAACAATGTTCTCAAATTTGCAAACTTCAAAGTTTGGGAATTTTTTCTCTATGATAGACTTAAGGGAGAGGGCACTCATACTTTGTTTCAAATCTAAAGGATTAGATCATATGGTTTAATAGAAGTTAGTCATAGACATATGTGAATATCATCTTGAAATGGTTCAACATAGGACCATATTGACATGTTTGAGATTGAGATAATTCTTAGTCAAAATTTATGGTCATATGGGAATATGGACATGTTTCCGTAATGAGGGTTGATTATTAAGCCTACATGTGAATAAGAAAATTTAATGCAAGAGAAGTGTTCGAGGAGTGTACCTTGAATTTGAAACTTCATTACCATGGAATTGTTTCTACTAACAAAGTTCCAATAGAACATTTGTGATATCATTGGCTCAGTCTCTGTAACTTTGAATCCTCGACATGACGGAAGGTCAATGCATGTAAGTTTGGAATTCCAATACATTTTAGATAATGACAAGAATTTAGAATTGTGAAAGGAACATCCTTGGAATGGTGTCCAGTTAATCTGTTCACAAAGGAAGGACCATAGAGAGACATAGTATGTATGTGCTTAACATGACATGACTGATGTTATATAATTTAAGTGGTTAGTTGATTACTCGAAACATTATACAATGAATAAAGTCATAATTATTATGGTGATTAATTAATAGATATTAGTTATATATTCAATAGGTTTGAGACCATAGTTAATTAGTTTATTATTGTGTTTCACTTTACAAGTTTTACTTCCTGAATAATTTGATTATTCGAATTCCATTGTTGCTCATACTTTTGGAAGTAAGTAGTGAATTAAGACTGTCATGAATTGAATTGTAGATTGTCTATGGAGATTAGCAATCGCAATAAGATTGTTACAATGTTCATGAATACTTAGTAAATGGGGATTTGGAGTATTGGATAAGCCCAGACTCATAGAATTACTTCATGGATTCTATAAAGAGTCATTCTATGATGATAATATCTTATATTCTTCAAATGGAGATATATAAGTTGTAATTTACAAGTCAATTGTGCATTGGTGTTAGGTAAACGCATCCGTAATGTGATGTTATAAAACATAGTATCATGCATGATTCGGTGAGTAAAATATACAAGCATATTTGTTGAAAATTATTCATTCCTTTTTCCCCAACGGGAAAAGCGATATCTTTAGGGCCCTCTTTGATTTCTTTTTCACATTCATGTGCAAGGCCTTGCCCGGACTGAATTGATGTGTTTAATTAGTAGTCTGAATCTAGTCATCATAAATCAGAAATTGGGAAACAGAATCTTGGACTAGGAGATTGATTATGATCCATGTATCATGTCCATATGATATCTTGGGAAACCAATCTCTGATCAGATTAGATTTCGACAGTTGCTTTGATAAACACACTTTGCTATTTATAGTAGAAGTTATACGTGTAATTTAGTTTTAGACGTATCCAAGTGGGAGACTGTTGGATTAGCTGTCTAAGCCAATAACTAAATTAATATAATCTTGAAGTATTAGGAAAGTTCCTATTGGGTTGCCCTCATAACCAGAAATAGCTAGAAATGATATTAGGAGAAAGAGAGATAAATAATACGTTAATATATTATGTGATTAATATATTAATTGGAAACAGATAATTGATATGTTAATTAACATGAGATCAATTGTTATATAATTGATTTGTTAATTTATATGATTAATAAATTAAAAAGAAATCACTTAGAATTAAATAATTATTAATCAGAATTAATCTGGAATTAATTTGGGACTAAAATGAATTACTTAATGATGCAAATGATGATTTGTAATTGTTCAATAGTTGAACGAAAGAAGCAATTCTAGAATCATCCAAGGGGTGGACTGTTTTAGGAGATTCCTTAGGGTTTCTAGAAACCTCCTAGATGTAGATAAGGAAATGATTTGAATAGGGATTAAATTTATTATTTAATTATTCAAATCTTACTTTGTCCCTAACTTACCTAAAGTATAAATAGGACCCCTTATAGCCTCAATTTCTTTCACACTCTTCCCATAAGGCTTAGGAACAAACATTATACATCTCTTATGTCTCTCTCCTCTTCATTTTAGGGTTCTAGGTTTTAGGTGTGAGCCATTAGAGGCACGAGATTTCTGGTGCTTGCTTTCCAAGTTTTTCAAGAAAGAGATTGATGTGATTTGTTTACTACAACAAATCAAAGGTATGTAACCCTAATTATTCTGTTTGATTATACTAGGTATTCATTAGGGTTCAAGATACTTTTATGTTCATAACATGTTACATTCGAAGTGTTAAGACATATATCATTTAGGTTGCATGTGCTCTTAAATGTTAAGTGAAATTCTGCAAGCACATTAATATATATATATATATATATATATATATATATATATATATATATATTAAGGAAATGAAAGTTAGGAACAGTACCTGACCAGGTTACTGTTCCTTGAGTTACTTGCTTCTACCTGGGTTACCAGCTCAAATCCCTCCACCGCTTCAATAGGTATCGAAGCTTTTCTCAGAAATATCCTCTTCTCTCCAAAATTCTCATTTCTTCTTCAGATAATTCAATTCCCTTTCAGACACATTCTTGCCACTCCAGACGCGGTCCCGAAGTCGAATACTTGCCATTATTGGTTTGTGACCGCCACATCTCTGGTAATGATTGAACATCGACGGCCGACCGATTCTCACCACCAACATCGCCGACCATCACCCATGCCATCACTGGTGCCGGAGGGGTTTGCCACTGCTGGCAAGTAGATGAAAAATGGAAAATCCCTAATTTCTACATTTTCTTTTGGTTCGATTCGTTCTACACACTTCAATGTTTCCCAAAATCAAGGTATGCTCCTAAATCAACTCCGATTTCAGTTAGGACTTTCTTCAAATCGTTTCTTCGAATTCATTCTTAAGTTATCAATTGGTAGGGTATGAGATTTTTAATTTTATCAACAAAAATATCCGACCCATGTGTGTTCAGTAAATTTGTTTGTTCCGAACCCCGGGTCAGCTTGCTGAGTGGATTTCTTTTACAACTTTTCTTCCAGGTTCTGCTTCTAGAGTTCATCGATTGTTACTCTGTCACCAGCTTCATGAGTGAAACGCGGATCCCAGTTTCTATGATTCCTTTCTATTTGTTTCTAATTTTGATTGCGTTGGTTTTGTTTTCCAGGTTTTGATTGCAGCTATCGATGATACAAATTGCAAATACCAGTGGGAAATCCTCGCCAAGGTCAAATAAACCCTAATGTTTCTATGGTTCCATTCTTTCTGTTTCTAATTTTGATTGCTTTGGTTTTGTTTTCTAGATTTTGATTAAACCTGTTCACGATAAAAAAGGTATGATTAATTTCTTTATTAAACATCCATGTCATTTCATTATTCAATGTCTTCATTTTTTCTTCTTCAATGTACTATTGTTAATCATCTGTGTTGTTGATCGCTTTTTTGTTTTTTTACATCTGTCAGCTTCTTCACTTTAGACATACAAATCGTTTATCTACTTTGCTACTTTCCAAAGGTCAGTTGATCGTTATTGTTTTCTCATACCTTCATGAGCATGGATGTTATTGTTTCTATATTAATTGGAAGATGTGAACTTGAAATCTACTACCTGTTTGCTTCACTTTTCTTTACTATTTCTCTTTTTTTTTTTCATCACCAAATATTTTAGCTAACATGTGATTTATGATTTTTTAAAGGTTTTTATTGGATTTTTGTTGAAATGATAAACCTTCCTAATCCTTTCCGATAAACTTTCCCGATCTTTTTAGATGTTGGCACTTTGTTTTTGGTTTACACCAACATATAGGGATTGGAAGAGATCAAGAGGGAGGCAAGAAGAAGCGAGACGGTGTCGCTATAGTCCAATTTCCACGAAATTCCATCATTTCCCAAATAGACACCCAAATTTAATATAAAGAATGATTGGAATCCATTTTGGCAAATTGTCTACTTTACTGTCATTAAGGGTTTTATATGAAGGAGCTGTTATGGATTTGAAGAGATCGATTGCAGATTTCGCCATACGCTATGCTTACATGGAATCTCAAATTAGATTGTAAGCTGGACACAATACAACTGTTGCACAGCATCAGTGAAGGTTAGTCTATCAAATACTATATTACCAATGTATTTATAAGTGTATGTAGCAAGGGTAAAAATGTCTTTTTCTTTCAGCCTATGTAAAATGAGGTGGTTCGGTTTGATGAGGGTTGCAAAGGAAAAGCCAGGAAGCATTTACCTGGCTGAATTAGTGAAGGTATTACTAATGAAGGTATCATTTGATTCTATTATGGAACTACCTCCCCTGCATCCTATCCACTCAAATCTATGTTCACATTTTTCTGTTCTTCGCTAAGAAAATGTCTTTCATTCACACTATATATGTGTTTTGATTATGGGTAAAAGGAAGGTGTTCCAAGTTCAGGTTTTGGTTTGTATTTTTTTTTGTGAAGGATGTGGGTTTGAGTTACAATATTTGGTTAAAAAAAATAAAACGAAGGACTTGATTGCTTCCCTATGACTTGAATGAATTATATCCAGTAGTAGGATAACATCAAATAAGAATAGATAAGAATAGACATACATTTAACCTGATAACCCACAATCTAAAAGTACTTACTCAATGCTTTGGGTGTAATAAAATTAGAGTTGAAACAAAAACAGGAAAAGGTGGGGGGAGAAATGAAAAAAAAACATCCCACGCTTCTCTCTTTGACAGAAAAAATACTAAAACAGAAACGCAACTACTTATGTTACATTTGTGGTTGTTTACTTATTTATGTCATAGTGTTAATAAGCTTTTGAAAGCAATAATTAGCCTAAAACTTTAAACAAAAAAGAAAGTATCATGACTCCTAAAAAATCTTAAAAAGCTATGTTTTTTTTTTCAACTATGGATCCAATTTAATCTCATTTCTCAACTTTTGTTAGTTTTCACATATGGTTGTTTCTCTTTCACTTAGCCTTGACATAATAGGTCAATGAGCCATTTTATCCGTTTATAGCATTACACTTTCCCATTTTCTGTTGGGAATTATAATTTGAAAATTTGTCCAGTAAGCAGTGGGGTTTTGATACTCTGAACATTTCAAGAGTTCAAAATAAATACACAATTGGAAAATTAAGACGTTACTTTCCTTTAGTTTTACCATGAAATTGTAATTATTTCATAAATGAAATAAACTAACTTCTATTCATTCAATTTCTTCCAAACTTCATATATCTGGGATTTTTTTTTTGTGGTGTACAGATTTGAGTTTCTAGAAGAAGAAAACTGCAACTGAGAAAGCTTATGTTTCAGCTATTTGTTAAGTAGTTGTGTTGTTCGTTTTTGTGACAACCCGAAATTTCTATTCTGTACAACCATTCACTTCTATAGAAGTCAGAACTGTTTCTGCTAACTTTCAAGCTTTTAGGAATCAGTCTGAGTGTTTTAAAGTTAGTACTACAAGATAGATCTGGAGAGAGGATGCCCTAGGAGTTGTTGTGAAACAATAAAGTCCCACAAACTTGAAAAGTTTGGAGTTTACGGCCCAAATGGTATTAGGGCCGTAAACCCTAATGACTATATAAGTTACACTTAGTTTATTTTTAACTTTTTTTCACATTTCCAAGTCTAGAACCATTTCTCTCTCAAGTATCATCCAAAGTTCTTCAAAAATCTTCAAGAAAGTAAGTGTTTTCTTCAAGTGATCCTACATGATTTCATCCATGAAATCATTCCATTTGTGTAGATCTTCAAGTGTTCTTAGTTTCACCAAGAACACCAAGAACACACACTAGTGTTCTTGGACTTTTGGCACCCTTTCAAGCTAATCTATTGTAAGTACTCTTACCCTAGTGTGTTATAAGACCTGTTACACTTCTTAATCACATAGAAAACACAAAGGAACTCAAGATCAAAGGTGTTTACGGTCCAAGATGTTCTTGGACCGTAAACCCTAATAAAGGGGCCATTATGTGCCTTAGTCCCTTACCAAGCCTTGAAAACTAGTCTAGATCCCATCCCTGAAGTGTATAGGACCTTAAGCATCAAAAAGACCATAAGCCATATGGGTTTACGGCCATAAACACATGGATAAATGGTCCATGGGCCGTAAACTCCATAAAGGGGTGAAATGTTGCCCTAATCATTTCCTAAGGCTTAGACATGAAGTAGGAATGCTTAGTATGACTTGTGAGGCTTCAAAACCCAAAATGGTAAAAGTACCATGAGTTTACGGCCGTAAACTCATGGGTTTACGACCGTAAACTCCAAGGTTGATGGTCACAAAACCGTAAACTCCAAAAGAGTGTCCCCTTGAACCCGAAACTCAAATACAAGGTCCTACAACCCTTAGATGCAATCCTTAGTACTTATAACACTTGAATCAAGGTGTTTCCTAGTCCCGGAAGGTGTTTCCTAGTCCCGAAAGGTGTTTCCCTTCATATAGTTGTTTATAAACACTATATTCATGTCAATATGTGTCCTCATATGTCATTTAGGACCTATTGTGTCTCGGGACTTCATTCGTGGAACTTCTAATCCTTACACGCATACCCGTTTGAATCACCCACATCAGGTGAGTTCATACGCCGTAATGAATCTTTTAACTATTTTAACTGTTTAGGGGGGGGACACAAGTTGAACACAATGATAATTGTGTAAATGTTTGTTATAAACATATTTCAAAATGATTACTTACGTTATTTATAAGTTGTTAAAACATTTCAAAAACTCTTTTAAAAGTTATGTTGCTGTATAGTTATACAAAACTTTGTTTTTAAAGTACAAACATAACTTAGTAGATAAACGAGTCTTTCCAGTAACAGTCCAAGTAGAACATTAGTAAGCTATAATAGGTATAGTTTAGGAGAATGCTATTCATTACTTCTAGTACAATGAAGCACACAAAGAGTCAATACCATACTGAACATATAGTGAAGAGAATCAAACAATACCATACGGAACAAACAAGTTAGGTTGCTATAGCATGAGAACACACATACAGGATCTAATTATACCAATGAATCACTAACTCATTGTTTTAAACAAAAGGTGATAGTTACATTGGGTATACATGATCATATACTTTAATGTGAATTACATGGCTTGCAAGAATTTGCAGAGGTCGTGTTTAGTTCCCCTAATCTCCTGACAGGGAGAGCGTATAGTAAGGGTTCTAGCCTTCATATTATAACCGTAATAAAACAAATACGTTTTTAGGTTATTAGTACATCCGCATGTCATTATAAACGACAACTGTGTACTTACACTTCCTTTTCTTTCACAAAGTGACGGTACCACTTGAAAGTCTAATTCAAACTATTTTCGAGTCAAGATAGTTATAAACTAGGGAAAATATACATTCTTACAAACGACAAACGGAACAGTCGAGTCTAGCACATAACAGAAGATGCCTTGGTAGAAGGATACGATTAAAAGATAAGGACCATAATGCTAGCCTTATGATTCCTTAATGTATACACCACAGGATATATATATATATATATATATATATATATATATATATATATATATACTAATAGGGTCCGACAGGTAATAGGATGTGTGCTCTCCGCTTCATTTCCTGTTCCTTGTATGGTTGTGGGCTTTGAACGAATTCACCCAATCTATTTTCTACCCGATTCTATATATATGTATGCTTAGTATACATCAAGTCATCATAAGGGTACCAGGTATGGGTTAGGTTATAAGACACAGAGTCAAAGCACAGTTTTTCTAGTATAAAACATACTTTCAGTACTTTTGGTATACAAAACTAGAAACTTCCCAGTAAAGGGTTTAATCCATTTTATTAAACCAGTACAATTTAAAAGACCTTAGGTGAGTAACTCTCTAATACCTTAGTTTATACATCATGTTTATATATAATACTAATACCCAGTAGGTAGTTGGATGTGTGCTTTCCGCCTTACTTCCTGTTCCTTGTTTGGTTGTTGGCTTAGGGCAGATTCGCTCAATTAACTTTCTATCCGATATTAGATTATATATAGTAGTATAAACTAAGCTATTATAAAAGTAGTCACTGTGGTCACTATTTTACTATAAGAAATAAGGGTTTTCTTAAAGAACTTCTTCATTAGATATAAAGGAAACATTACAACTAACTCCATGAGTAACAAGTGATTACACCAGGGTTATATATGACGATGATCTAACAACCAATGGAATGTGTGCTATCCGCCTTAATTTTTGTTCCTCGTTTGGTTGTGAGCTTGAGGCAGATGCGCACAATCGATTGTTTGTTTACTCTGAGTCTTATATAAATTGTACCCACTTAGTACCCATAGAATGGGTTGTAGTGTCATTTTACTTAAACTTCCATCAAAGTAGGAAATATATGATTTTCTAGAGGAACAGGCGAACTTTTCAAAACAGAACTTACAACTTACACCATTTTTACATATACATTTTCAACAACACCTTACAACTTACTCACATCACTAAAATCTTATGAACTCACCAGCTTAATTGCTGATCAACTCTTTCAAATAACTTGTATTCTCAGGAGACTATTAGACAGGTGCTCGTGCTGGGGATTCAGAAGATGGAGCATTATAGCTTCAAGTCTTGTTTTGTTATTTGTGTATGAATTCTATGTTTTGTGAACACACACATTGTAAACACTTTCTTTCGAAATGAAATGGTTGTTCATTACTTGCTTACCATATACATATCTCGTGATACTAAACATGACGTCCTCCACCCCCGAACGATTCCGCCGTTCCGGTTTTGGGGTGTGACAGATTGGTATCAGAGCATTGTTTATAGTGAACTAAGTATATCAACCGATAAAAGATATACAACTATAAATACAATGGGGCTTAAGTGCTCTGTGCTCTGGATAATGATATATTTTTAGAATATAACTATAAGTTATAAAAATATACCTACTTGCTTATACATGTACATAATAGAACTAGTGTGACGAGGAGAACATAACTAAAGTATTTAAAGGTTGGGCACTGTCGTCAACCTGAACATTTAATTAATCATAGCTAGGATCAATATAGCCTGATCAACTATATTCATTCGAGATGTGACCGACATGTGTTTGGGAATGATGTGGTGTTGCAACAGTGTTAAAACTTACCTGAACACCAGAACAAGTACATTCAGAGTTAGAATACTATAGGAGTATTTTAGTCCAGATAAATAACTTATGTGAGAACTTAAAAAACCCTTGCGGATAGGTCTATAATCTTGCAAGGTATATTCCTAAGGTTTTATATATAATCAAGATCTTATAGACTTAGAATCTGTGGTCTACGCTTCATTATCGATTCCTCTTAAGGTTGTAGTGTTGGGGTAGGATCACCTATTCGAAGGTTTGTTTAATCTTCAAATATATACAAACTTGTGTACCTTGTACAATTATAGGAGGACCCCGTAAGGATCACCCCATAAAGTTACCTTAAAGCTCATAGATTCTTTAGTCACCTTCATTCTCGCACGACAAGCCCAGATAGATGTAACCACTTCCTCATAGTAGACAACAGAAGAGTCCAGGAG